GAGTGAACATGGATACCGTTAGAGGGGTATATTATATACAGGGATTATATAGGGATTAGCGTAGGGATCCACTCCCCGGCCACCAGTAAGGTGAAGCCCGTCTGGCGCGGATCAACCGGGAGACCACAGGCTGCTCGGCATCAAGGGCCAACTTTCGGTAGTGTCCCTGCGCAACGAATATGCTGTGAATGTATATTTTTTTATATGTATGTATATCTCTATATATATATATCTACGTTTATAGCCCTTCATATCACCCTTTTATAGATTGTCATTAAGGGTGGGGAGGGTACCCAACCAACACCTTTGAATGCAGAGGTGTGCCCATGTAGGATTCCTTGATCCGTATGCGATCTGGGGTATTTTCTGTATTAGTTCTAGGAGGAGCGCGTTTCCTGGAGATGTGCAAAGGGGCCCAGTCTGCGGGGAGTGTACTCACAGTGGTAGGTTTTGGGGAGATTATCCCGCGGAGGATGTTGTGATTCAGGTCGTTGGGAGGCTGCTCCGTATGACTTCTGGAAGGGCGTGAAGGCAGGAGAGTGGCATGGTTTGTAAATATGCAAGGAACTGCGACCTTCCGCGGCAGTCACAAGTGGGCACGTTGCAGGTCCGGGAGATTCTTCCATCCCTGGGCACTGACATGGGACCCCTCCGTCTGCCATTGGCAGCGTCCAGGCAAGCCTGAGGGTGCATCATGTTGGGCGGGGCCTGCAGGAGAGCGTGAGGTTCACATCAATTTCTTGCATTAGTTGTTGATTCGCGATAAAGGTTTCTAAGTCCGCGATCATTTCAGGTAGTTCCCCTTATGGATCCTTTCCCTAGTCCTTTGAGGCCAGCTCAGCCAAGCTTGGCACGTGCTGCCAAGAGCCAGCCCTCCATCCCGGCATCCTTCGATGCTCGAGCACATTGGCCAAAGTGCAACTCCATCGGAGTCATCCGCAACCAGGCTCGTTTTGTCTGGATTAAGCAACTACGAGGTCGTGCCAGAGTCGCCTGACAGGGCCGCTGTGGATCGTGCTGGGCAGTGGCAGCAGCAACTGCGACTTGACTGGTAGTGTAGCACCTTCAAGATGAGTAAGCCCAATCAACGAGTCACGAGCAATATTTAGCGCCAGGTCATGACTGACCGATTCTGCGTGGCTGCTTCACATTTCCTGGGCCAAAATGCCAGCTCTCATGGCAGTCTGTTGCAGCTGTCCGCATCTTGGAAGCATGCTGGGGTACTTCTGGACAGCTGATTTCCTGGGCGGCAGCTTCCGTGTCATCTAAGGAAATGCAAGGGCTGTCCCTTGCTCCAGAGCTTCTTGTGCAGTGCGATGGAACGTAGCTTTGCCTAATGTGCGAGTGTTGAACAATGCTAAGTGCCACCTACACTACCACAAACAGTAGTTTCCATTTTATTTTCCGTTATCCCAGTATATACCCTATTATAGTATGGTAGTTTCCACTTTACTTTCCATTGTCCCAAGATATACCCTATTATGCTATAGTAGTTTCCATTTTTCTTCCATTATCCCAATATACCACCAATATGAACACTATAATCTCCATAGTAGTTTCCATTTTCTTTTCCATTATCCCAATATAACCCCAATATAGACCCTATAATCCCTATAGTAGTTTCCATTTTCTTTTCCATCTAAACCCTAAACCCTAAACCCATAATGGGCCACTGCAGAGCTTCCAAACTCAAGGAACCATGGCTGTGGGGGCGGACGCCTGGATGATGTTTGGCTCTTCTTACAAAGCCATGGTGTGCCCCAGGCCCCGTCTGCCGAACATGGGGGCAAGATGCAGGTAATTTCTTACTAATATTATTACTTGTATACTGCTATGATTATTACCACTATTGATATAGTTATCACTTGGAGCTGAGGCATCTGCTTGAAAGTTCAGTTTGTTTTTCATCATGCCCTCTGTCAGAGCATGTACGTAGGGTCCAGTGGGGATACCAGAGAGCAAATCATATGTATGCGGCCGCCTTGAAACTTCTTGTTCTTATCAGGGCGTGGTTTGATTCTAGCAATCTACTGTATCAGGGTCTTGCACACAGCACAATACGAAGGATAACGATGATCATGGTTGTTGCTATGATGATTGAAGGCATTCTTACTCTATCAGTTCAGTCGCAAGTTGCCAAGCTCAAGCCAGGAATCCTGTGCGCCGTACGAGCATTGTCGTGTGCCCACGCAGCGTTCCTGCGACTATGATTGGCAGCCGGGGCCCCGACATGACTGTGTCTGAGGGTATCCTAAAACGCACGAATCCGAATACGCAGCATGTGTGTGTGTGTGTGTGTGTGTGTGTGTGTTTTTTTTTTTGCGAACGCACTGGTATGATATTCCTTCACTCATTTCATCTGCTCATTTAGAGGTCAGGATTTCTTGGTTTTGGTTCTGGAAGACAGGTAAACGACAGGTGGTGATACTGTGAACGGCCGTGGTTCAATGGCACATGGCAACGAGGCCAGTGATGCACTTACAGCCTCACAGCGATGGGGAGGACAAGCCCAAGCACGACTTTTGCGGCTGGACAAGGATAGTGATCACAGAGAAGTACTAGCAGGAGGTAGTGGGTTGGTGGCAGGACAGCAGTGGTAGTGATATAGTCCCCCTTAAGTAGATAGAATATGGGGTATATGGGGATCTTATTTTAATATACCCAAACCCATATTCTATCTACTTAAGGGGGACTACAACAGTAGCCTTCATTCTGCTGTTGCGGTCGTGTTGCTGCTAGCTGTAATCACGGAGGGGTGCATCAATGGTCATTTGCCTTCAATGTCTCCCTAGCTTCAGCACGCCGTCTTTCCAACGAACAGCTCTTTTTCACATAGATGGCTTTTTAAGGCTCGGTGTTGGAACTGGCAGCTTTACCGCCAAGAGGTAATTTCCCCAAATAGGGGGACCCTCCTATAGACCCCAAAATATTATGAGGGACCCCCAAGAAAGGATACCTAAGTTTTGGAAACCCCATGATTATCCCAAAACTCTATAGAAGCCCTATATACCACTCATACCACTATACAACCTCTAAAATCCCCTTTAAAGGTACCCCGAATTTTGGGAAACCCCCCAAGTACAGGCGTGAGAGGTGAGTAGTCTAAACCCTAAACCCTAAGCCCTGAACCCTAAACCCTGAACCCTGAACCCTGAACCCAAAACCCTGAACCTGAGGCCACGGCTCCTGCGCGGATGGCTCGAAGATGAAACTTTTCAAAGTGGCCGAGGCCTCTAGTACTCCAGTAGTTATAGGGTTTATGGTTTAGGGGTTTAGGGGTTTAGGGTTTTAGGGGGTAGGGGTTTAGGGTTTAGGGGTTTGGGGTTTAAGGGTTTAGGGTTTAGTGTGTAGGGATTTAGGGATGTAGGTGGTTTAGGGGTTTATAGGCGTTTGTTGGACAGCCCATGCTGGCGTGGGGAGTCATGTTGGCTTTGCATTAACTAATAATGCCGAGGGGGGGAGCAGAATAATGATGCCCGAAATGTAGGTTGAGAAATCTATACTAAGAACAGCTCAAATCTAATTAAATTGTCACTGAGAAATTACATTTTTTTCGTCTGTATTATAATTGTGGTCTTGATGTAATTGTGTTCCTGCGGCGGGATTCTATACATATCGGGCGGGCACCTAATGTAAAGTCAACATTATGACTCCCGGGAAAATGGAGGAACAGCTGTGTGACGTCGGCAATATTGTTATCAATGGAGGTAGTAGTAGTAGGAATACTAGTGACAACAATAATAGTAGTAATACTAAGAATGTAAGTACTAATGATACATAATTATATATGACCCGACCATGCGGCCAAGTCTTTCTGCCAGCACAGGCCTATGCTGTCGCAAAGCCACGTGATGTTGCAAGCCTGCAGCGAGAGCTGCTCACGCATGGTCCCGTGGAGGTCGCTTTCTTTGTTGCCCGGTGGCATTGAGTCACCAGTGGGGTAGGGACCGGTGTAGCTGCAGTAATATGCCTATGGACTTCTGAGTGATCATTTTTGAAGGAGGAGCATGGACTCCCAGCCCTCCATGCTTTGAACGGACCAGGTGTTCTCTGACTTCATGAGCTACAAACGGGGCGTCTACTTCCGCACTCCTGGTGCCTTTGGGCCCATGGGAGGCAGCTCGCCGGACTGGCCCACATCAGCAATGAAATCTGAATGAACCCAGGCCTAGCAGAGATTCTGCGTGACCCAAGGTCATGCCGTTCGACTTCTTGGATGGGGCACAGAGAAGGCATGCACCTCAACTCCCGACTTTCCCGGCACACTTAACCATCCTCCGACCTGCCAAGTAGACCTTGAATAACACCAGGTATCCTCCCACCGCCTTCCTCTCAGGACTACGAGAACGAGCCCATGGATTACTGGCTCATTGCTAACTCCTACTCCCCGCGTTGGGGCATGCACGGCCTCTTTCGGATCCGCCGTGGCACCAACGTTGCTTGGGTTCACTTTGGCATGCGTTGGTGGTTCAGCATGGAAGATGCAAAAGCTGAAGCTGCGAGCAATGCATTTCCCCTTCTAACCTGCTCAAGAACTCGCGGTTTTTGTGTTGCGGGCCATGTAAGGAGTGTGGCATTGAGTCCATCCCTGCAGCGGGCACACCTGACCTGAGCCACCTGCTCCAGTAGGTGCCAAGTTTCAGCGGAGATTCGGCAAATACCATGCAAGAGAGATCTGAATCTAGTCTAATTGTTCAACCTAGCAGTGCTAGATGTTTGTTGTATGCAGGCGTTGCTTTGATCAGTTTCCACTGCTCGGCCGCTTGCATGAGCACGCCTCATTCTCACGGCACTCCAAGTGGTGCGCGTCTGCGATGCATGATTGCAGATCACCTTCACTGGCCTTGCAAAAGGCCCCAGCTCGGAAAGCGAGTCACCAATTTCGGCAGACATGGCAGCAGCAAGAAAAAAGTTCCAAACGATCACCTAGAACAGCAGAATGTAGTGGGGCTGAGCTTGTCAGCGTGATTTTGCCTCAGTGTATTGGTAAGAAAGACGAGGTCCGAACGGTCTACCACAAGTACCATCATCCGAAGGCTGGGACAAAAGTGGTGCAAGAGGCACACCCGTGCAGACACAGCAGAAGCTCAGCGGAAGGAGTGTCTCATCACGCACGGCACCATCTGCCGTGACCTGGCATGGCCCTAAGAGGTTTCAGATGGTTTCAGCATACCTGCAACAATGCTGATGATTTGACACGCGCTTTGCCAGCAGACCAACGCTGGGGAGGTGAGGCAGCTGTCCTGATGTCTGAATCTTAGGTGCGAGCAGCCAATGGCGAAAAGAAGAAAGAGAAGGAAAACAACGATAAGCTTGCTCTGAACATCACCAAGGCCTCCGAATTGCCCTGTAGACTCACAAATTTTGGCAATTTCCCAAAATCAGGGGAACCCAATACGGACCCCAAAACATTCCAAAATACTATAATGCTTATCAAAGGGACCCCCAATATAGTACCCCCAATTTTGGGAAAACCCATTAATCTGTTGACATGCAGCAAATTCAGCCGCTCATGCTTCCCAGGAGGATGCGGAAACCGTCACCCTCGCCAAGGCTTTCAAGCTATGGGTGTGCTTAATGCCTGCAGTGTTCAACTGAAGTAGTCCTAGTAGTAATAATAGTATTTGGAGTAATCATAGTAATGTATTAGTAGTCATAGTGGTACTCGTTAGTGTTAATAGTAGTAGTATATATAGTACTATATAGTAGTATAGTAATATATTACTACTACTATAGGTCCCATGATGTGGAGGACGATGGTGGACTGGAGTTCGTGTTCCCGTACGGAGCAACGCTGAATGCGCAGAAGCCTGCCATTCCTATACTTTCTTCTGGGCACCCTGGCATGCACAGCCGTCCAGCTGACCTGTAAAAACCTGATGAAGTGGATTGTGACGAAGCTGAGATTTCGCAAATCAAGCCTCGACTCAGATGCCACCCCGTATGAACAGCAGAATTCCAACTTCTGAGTCGCGTTGGAGGGCGTCGTTACTTCGTCCGGCCTATTTGCTGAGATCTGCCTGTGTACTGAGGCCCATCTCATATCCACTGAATCGCCCCATCGGGGCTATTCACAACAAGGTTGGGCCAAACCTGCGTTGAACTTGCAATTTCCGGGCGATTTTCGAAGAGCTTCTGAAACCAGAAGCCTTCCCTTGCCTTGAGGTGGGCATGGGCAGGATCTGCGTCATCGGCTCCGTCCAGATGTTCGGCGTTTGGAGCCTAGAAGCCTTGCGAGTCTCTCGAGTTTATAGTAAATTTGGATCGTGCAGATACCTGAGGATGACTTCCTGGACTGTGAGAAAAACAGACAACTCGTCGACACCCTGGTGAGATGGCGACATGGCTGAGACTTCAAAGGGATCTCTTCACACTATATGGGATTATATCGGGATTAGATAGGGTCCAGGGACAAGGCGCTTCCCAAAGTCCCAAAGCCTCAGCTGATCTGGATCTGGAGGTTGTTGAGGCTGGGGGACTGCGAGCTTAGCTACGCCTACGGCGAGGACGGCCCAAGCCACAAAGCCATGCCTGAAACCGAGGGTTTAGGGTTTAAGTTTAGGGTGCCCCCTTAACAAAGGAGGACTAACAAGCCCGAATTGTAATCATGTGTTCTATTGGGTCCATATTCCTCAATAACCCCCATTAGTACCCCCTAAACTCTCAACCATAGAGCCCTAGAACCCTAAATAGTAGTTTCCATTTTATTTTCCATTATCCCAATATTCCCCCAATATACTATAGTAGTTTCCATTCCCTTTTCCATTATCCCAATACTAGTCCCAATACAGTATAACCCTAATATCACTCACCCCTAATATCCCTAAGCCTCAAACTCTAAACCCAATTAATTATACACCCTAATATCCCTAAACCCCACACCCTAAACCCTAAAATCCCTAAACCCTATTAAGTAAAGGAGCCTGAACTCAGCGAGTACCATCACATCCCTCACACCCAGGGCTTGGCGATGAATCTCAGGCCCTTGAGGGATCAGGTTTCAGGGAAAATGGGTTGTTCTCAAAATTTTGGGGCCCTTTTGGGTTATTGATTATATTACGACACCTATTATGTAGGGGTACCAAGATGGGACCCTAATTTGGGGAACTGCCCAAATGAACAGTTGCATGGGGTTTAGAATTTCGGGCTGGGGAAAGTTATTTTTGTGAGGTCTTGGGGGGGCTTGCAGGGACCGTAGAGGTTCTCTGTAGGGGATCTTGAGGTTCTGCTGGGATTCTTTCGGACCATTTGGGGCACTCGAGGTAGAACCGTATGCAACTTGGGGGTACTGATTGATTTCACACGTTGCTTCATGATGGGGGGACTGCCTGAAATACAACGGGCCCAAATAAGTTTCTAGGGAGAACGCAGGGCTTACACTCCTACACATCAACATGACGTGGAACCTCTTATAGCCCCCCGCTTAGGATAGCAGTCTTTGCAGGGCCCCTTTTTGGGGCTTGCATTGGTCAAGTCAACTGTGGAGCGAACAATTTTCCACGGAGCCCTTTCTGCCTATTTCTCAGATAGGGGTGCCCTTTTATACAACCTCCCCCAGTGACTCCCCCAGGAATAATATATGATCCATTCACTTATTCTCGGCAAGTGTTGTTTTCATATTCGTTGTTGTGGTGTTTCTGTTTTGTCAGTAGTCTTATAAGAATGAGGGTGCTGGTTACCTTTTTCACTTTCTTACACAGCTGGGTCAAACAACTCAAGCCGCAAGGAAAATGTCAAATAGGAAGCCGCCCTAAAACCCTAAACCCTCAACCACCCTCAACCCTACACCCTACACCCTAAGCCACTCTAGATAGTCAGCAACTCCAGAGCCTCCACACTGAAAGCCTCACAACCTGAGCCCTGTGGCAAGGAGCTGCTTACAGGACCGACTGCCTGGGAGAGGGTGTAGGGTTATATTGGGGTCATATAGGGAGAATGGAAAATAGAATGGAAACTACTATAGTATAGTAGGGTATATCGTAGATCCCAAGGTACCCCAAGCAGAGAAGAACCCACAAAGCACTCTGTTGGAATAGGCGAATACAACATGGTTCCCCAAGTTTGAAAGCCTGTCTTTTCTGTTGGGGGCTGCGCGGGCTGCGCGGCCTGATTGTTGTTGCATCTTCTTCCGTACTGGAATAATCCAGGCTCCTAATCTGATCTCTGTTCCTCCTTTTGGACTCACATTGTGTTTGACAAGCACTTATACAGACCCTACAACAATATAATAGTTTCCATGATAGCTTCCATTTTCTTTTCCATTATCCCTATATAACCCCAACATAATGTTGAGTGCTGGGTATTCTTTGCATCATTCAACCATCAGAAGCAGAGTGGGATGCCAGGAAAATGAGCAGCTTCCTCGCGACTTCACCCAGCTGTTCGATGACAGCCTTTTCAAGTTCGCCACCGCCTTGGGACAGTTAGTAGTACTATATTACTTTTATTAATAGTAATATCACTACATTACTTTTATTACTAGTAGTAATCTATATTACTATTATTACTAGTAGTATTACTGTATTGCTTTTATTACTAGTAGTGTTCCTATATTACTTTCATTACTATTATGACCACTACTATTATTGTTACTATGTTTGGCCTTGGGCCTTGAAGCATGCCATGGGACTTCTCTTCAGCTGTTTGCCAATGCAAGACGTTGCTGAGGACACCGACCTGATTCCAGAGGCACAGTGGTGTGACACTGCAATCGAACTTCAACGTTTTGTGTAGCTGGTGATATTGCGTCATGTGGCACTCTGCAATATTGCACTTTGCCACACCATTTGGTGAAACGTCGGTTTGTTGCTTACTATCTGTGAAGCAGCCCTGGTATGTCTAAACATGTGCTACATTTGCACCGTTGGCTTCTTTCTGTGCTGGTGTGTGATGACAGTCTCAGCTCTTGCAGTACTGGCATGACCAGCAGCTCCTGCATTCTGCAAAGGAAATGCTTTGGGTGCTCAAGCTGTATGAGTGCTCAGGAAGTCATGTGAGGAAACAACCGGCTCTCAATTTCAACTGCAGATGATGCAGACAGGAAGGGTCCAACATTGTGTGCCAAGATTATTTGGCTTGACTTTCTATGCTCGACCAAGCAGCCTTAGAGCCATGTCGATGTACAAGTTGCCGAGCGTCAACTCGCCCTATGTGACGCGGCATGATCAAGCATGTCGAACATGCGTCGTGCACGCTACCACCGCCGAGGCCGCTACCACCTTCCTCCTTCTATTCTTACTCTCGTCCCTGCTGCCGCGCCTGCTGGCGCTGCTGCTGCTGCTGCTGCCGCTGGCGCTGCTGCTGCTGCTGCTGCTGCTACGACGATTATAATTGTACTAGTAGTGTACCTGCAACTACTGCGCTCTGACAAAGGTGGCAATGAGAAGGCAAGCGATAATCATAAGAAGATTCCCCTTGCCGCAACGAAGGCCAGCGCAAAAGTAGTGGATGCGTGGTGCAATGGACAAGTGTTTACTGAAGCATCCTCTCAAGCTGCGATCAGAATCATCTCCGCGCTGATAGCGGCTTTGGGGTTCTCCTTTTGCTAGGTCTGCGCTCTAGATGCTGTGGTCCGTCCTTCGCATTTCTAGCTGTCCCCCAGACCTGCCAAACCGGTAGGATCTCCGTTATAGATCTTGCAAGAGGCCCACCTACTGCGCACTGCATGCTGTTAGGCTTCTGCATGCTAGGAGCTGTGTTTGCTGAGGCGAGGCCATACATGACCAACCACCTTTGCTACCAGGCCAGCCCTGTGGGAGCTATGAATCTACCTGTGAATAAGCTTGATGCATGCTGCCTGGGTGTGGGTAGTTTCAGTGGGCTTCTATCCCAGGGCCTCACCGAATGCAAAGGTGTCCTTTGGCTGCACTTGAACGGGATCCAAAAGCGAAACTGCCACCTGAAAACCTCCACAAATCTGGCCGCCAAAAACAGGACTTGTACAGATCCTAGGGCCGACTTGCAGTCCCGCCCGCACTATATTGTAAAGTTCAACCCTCTGACAGCCTGCAACTACAAGCCCGAAAAAGGCAGCTTGGTCGTCAGAGTAGGAGTTTCTCAACGCCAGAGGATCCCTAGACTCCTCTTACAAGTAGGGTCCCGAAGGGCCGTTGATTTCATGTCCCCAAAAACTGCAAACCCTAAAGTACACAAATGCCTCCAAGACTCAACCTACATAATAACCCTATATTAACCCTATATAACCCATTATAGTAGTTTCCATTTTCTTTTCCATTCTCCCAATATTACCCCAATATAAACCCTATAATCCCTACAGTAGTTTCCATTTTCTTTTCCATTCTCCCAATACTACCCCAAGATAAACCCTATAATCCCTATAGTAGTTTCCATTTTCTTTTCCATTCTCCCAATATTACCCTAATATACTATAGTAGTCTCAAGACTGGAGGACCGCATTCGCAAGGAGTTCCAGGCCTCCGTACCTACTGAGAGGCTCCACGAGCTGGACGCACCCCTCTCTGAGGCCAAGCCTTCCAGGCTTTAGGGCCTTTGAGGATTGAGGGTTATAAGATGTTATAAGAATTAGGGCCTTTAAGGGTTTAGATTGTTAAGGTTTAGGGTTGTAAGTTTCGCGGTTAGAATCATACGTGATAGTTGACATGCATACAACTTAATTTTGTTGATCGTTCTTATGATACTGATCACGGCGATACTGGGGTTTTCCGTGGCAGGAGTGTTGGGTTGAGGTGAGGCACCTGCTTGACAACTTGGTGTTAGCAGCTGTCCCATGATGACCATTTTTCCATAGCTCTATAGAACACTGTATGCCACAAGGGTCCAAAGGGTACCCTGCTCTACGGGCATCCAAAACGTCTTCGTAAAAGCGCAACGCTATTCCAATCTCATTCCTTGACATCCCAATAGAACCTCGCAGAACACAATTACCATGGACCTTTTCAGAAAGGACTCCTTTTTCACATGAGCCATAATCTAAACTCCTTGAAAGGCGTTATATAGGGGATTGCTCACAAGCCTTTTGTGAGGCATCGCGCAAGAAGTTCGGCCTGCCAACCTCAGGCACTCGCTTTTGCACCCTCTGACTTGGGGGAAGGATTGAAAGGGTTTAGGGTAGGTTTGGGATTGGGATCCTTATGATATCCCTATACATCCCCTACATGAGTACCTCCAGACTCTTTTCCCTCCCCTTTCAGCACCAGTAAGTCCTTGGGGATCCTTGCAAAGAAGCCTGGGTTGTCCTTGGGTACTGCCAAGTCATGAACTCTAGCAGCTGCAACCCTAAAGTCCCCTCCAGGAGTACGTAGACCCTCGAACTGAAGGCATGGGAAGCCACTGGCATGTCACTGTGCCCCGTCAGATGGCCAGTGATTGTGTTCAGTTCCTACAGGGTTTAGGGTTGAGGGTTGAGAGATGGAAGCATGAATCGGCCTCAAGATGGTTCCTGACGTGCAAATTCCATGCTGCGAGATCATCAGTTTTTGACTATCAGGGGCCCTGTGTATGATATCAACAGCACCACTGCCTTGGAAGGACACGCGCCGCATACCGCAGTGGAGCAAGCATGACGGAAAATATGATCAAGATAGACACACTTTTGATGGGTACCGCCAAAGGTTACAGTCAGCAAGAGATTTCTAAGTGGTGCTGCAGGATCGACACCCAACCTCATGCAGGAGCCAGTGCGAGGTAATGGAGTGCTTTCCGTACTGTAGGTTTGGGCATGGAAAAGGGATGAGATGCTTTCATTGTCGTGTCGCGAGCCGTGTTTATGAGCAGGGGGAAGTCAGGCATAGAGCTTCAACTACCATCTAGGACTACTTGCTGAGCTTTGTTTTCATCGGATTGTTGTGCATGAGGCGTTGAACCGATTATTACATGAGGATTGGGCAACATATTGGGTGCAGCGTCTGTCCTGAAGTTACCGTGTCAAAATTCGTCCCGATGATTTCACTGTCTGAACGTAGATTGGAAGAAAGCTCAGACCTTCAAACCCTAGACCCTAAACAGTAATCTGTGAACCATTGTCGACCCCGTACTGGAACCACAGCAATGCGGCTTTCTCAACGTTAGATTTGAGATCAATGAGTGCCCCAGAGTAGTAGTGTCATTGTACTATATAGCGACCCCCAAAGAAACGGATGTTACGACCTCCTGGACAATTCCACAGGACCCAACCAACACAAAGATAGAACCCGTAATGGAAGCCAGCCTGACACTATGGACTCGCAGGATGATGTTTGTTGTAACTGCGGTCTAGGTAGCGCTCCTCAAGTTCGTGAAAGCAAACCGCGCCTGGAAACATCACAGGAGCGGTTTCCAAAGGGCTCCTTCAACAGGATGAACAACGACTCATCTGGATTTTCAAGGCCAGTTCGTGAGCCTATTTGGAGGTTCCTAGTTACCAGGAAGACTAGCAGCACCTACTGTACAAAGCCGCTGACAAGCAACCTGCAAATCGGATTTCAAGGAAACACAGCGTTGAACAGTGCTCCTGTGTGAGTAAGAGCTACAGGGATAATCGTGGTGGTCATTTTTGAAGTGCTGGATATGGCTGATTTCTTCTCTTCGTGCTTCTCCTGCCTCCGGGGAAACACTCTTATGTCGCTGCCTTGTCTTGAACTCAGTATGTCTTCTTGAGCCACGTTACAGGCATCCCCTAAAACTTGACATTCAGCCAACCTCCGGAGATTTGTCTTCACACGAAGCTGACGCCCAGAGGAAAGCTTCCTGAGCTTGCAAATGGTTCTGCATCTGGAACAGCCCAGCTCTTGAGCCCCTCAGAGGACAGCTTAGAGTGCTTCATCCTGCACAGCGTCACTCCTGAACAGGTCTCTTCTGGGCAGCTGGGAGGGTTCCTGGGCAGCCCTAAGTTTGGGATCATCACGGAAGGCAGTTTGTATACCGGCCACTTGAGACTGTTGAGGAGTTTTTTTTTTTCTCAGCGGCAGGGGTGGTCTTTTTGCTTCCATGTCCCGTCTTGCGCTTTCTGAAATTCTGCCACTAAGAGCTGTTCATCCTTGTGGGAAACTATTGAAATTGAATCCCTTAGCTGCGCCAGATTTGTTAAATACGGTCTCGGCCATGAGGGATCGAGTGGATATCTAAAGACTGCAAAAGCCCCAAAATGATCTGCTCCAAAATCGCCGCAAAATCCTTCAAAAGCGTGTAAGTGCTTTACATACACTGGAATTCACCCCTGGCCCCCCCCTCCGGACCGGTTCTTTGCGGCTTGTTGTGCAGGCGCAATTTTTGTCTTCTTTCATTCCCTGCTTACAAGAGCAAACCTTGTAGGAACGATGGCAGTAGTAACAGAACACATGTTGCTGTACGAATTCATGTAAATGTGTAGACATAGGAGACAACATGACTATTAATCAGATGTCCTGTTCATAATCGACAGGCCGCCAAAAAAAGTGATTAGTTTTAATAATCACCTCTCCCTAATTCTAATGTGCCCGCTCCCAATGATAAGTGTTCCCAGTATTCGTCCTGCTATGCAAATTAGCCAAGCATTGATAGTTGATGGGGTGGGTCAATGATTACGCAGAGATGGTTATAATCTCCATAGTTCTCCTCACCTGAACCTTGCAAGTAGACATACTGTAGCCCCCAGAATGTTAAATCTGCATTAGCACCTTAGTCCCTAAACCCTCAACCTTCAAGTACCCTTGGGAATTCATTACCACCGAATTCCCTGCAGACTGCCTAGG